AAAAAAAAAAAAAAGATAACCCATGGCTGAGTACCAGGTCACAAGAATCAATAAACAAGCATCCCAAGGTGGGGGTGATTGATGAGGAAACACCAAACATTAGATACACAGAATCAGGAATGAGGGAAGGTTTTCTTAGTCACTTGTAAGACTGTCTTACAGTAAGACTTGTAAGACCCACCACCAACCCATCATGTGTTAAGTCAGAAATTAACAAACTAAAAATTTTAAAGCAGTGATTATAACCATGAATGAAAAAGATGTAATGATATACTTATAAAAATGAAAAGATAAGAAATGTCATCAGAAAAATAGAAACTAAAAGAAAAGAACCAAATGGAAATTATTAAAGCACAAAATACAATATCAGAAATAAAAAGCTCACTGGATGGGATTAACAGCAAAATAAAAATGACAGAAGAATTGGTGAACTTGAAGATAGAGTTATATAAATTATTCACTCTGAATAATAGATACAAAAAGATTGAAAAAAATGAACAAAGCCTCAAGAATCTGTGAGACAACATCAAAAGGTATAACGTATACATATCTGGAGTCCCAGAAGAAAAGGAGAAAGAATAGGATAAACAAATATTTGAGGAAATAATAACCAAAGCTTCCCAAATTTAGTGAAAGGAATACAGACTTGAAAGTTCAACAAATCTTAAGCAGGATATATACAAGAAAACCATACCTAGGCACATCATAACCAAACTGCTGAAAAACAAAGATAAAGAAAAAATCTCAAAAGCTGTCAGAAAAAAAGGATTCATTACATACAGGAGAACAATTATTTAAATAATCACTGAATTCTCATCAGAAATTATGGAGGACAGAAGACAATGGAACTTCTTGAAAGTGCTGAGAAAAGAAACTAAAAACTGTCAACCCCAAAATGTATATGTCGTTGTTAGGTGCCATCAAGTCGATTCTGACTCATAGCAACCCCTTGTACAACAGAACAAAACACTGACTGGTCCTGCGCCATCTTCACAATCATTGCTATGTTTGAGCCCACTGTTGCAGCCACTGTGTCAATGCATCTTGTTGATGGCCCTTCTCTTTTTCACTGACCCTCTACTTTACCAAGCATGATGTCCTTCTCCAGGGACTAGTTCCCTCCTGATAACGTGTCCGAAATATGTAAGATGAAGTCTTGCCATCCTTGCTTCTAATGAACATTCTGACTAAACTTTTTCCAAGACAGATTTGTTCATTTTTATGGCAGTCCATGGTATATTCAGTATTCTCTGCCAACACCATAATTCAAAGGCATCAATTCTTCTTCGGTCTTCCTTATTCATTGTCCAGCTTTCACATGCATATGACATGACTGAAAACACCAAGGCTTGGGTCAGGCACAAATTAGTTCTTAAAGTGACATCTTTGCTTTTCAACACTTTAAGGAGATCTTTTGCAGCAGACTTGCCCAATGCAACGCGTTGTTTGATTTCTTGACTGCTGCTTCCATGGGTGTTGATTGTGGATCCAAGTAAAATGAAATTCTTTACAACTTCAATCTTTTCTGTTTATCATGATGTTGCTTATTGATCCAGATGTGAGGATTTTCGTTTTCTTTATGTCAAAATGTAATCATACTGAAGGCTGCGGTCTTTGATCTTCATCAGTAAGTGCTTCAAGTCCTCTTCACTTTCAGCAAGCAAGGTTGTGTCATCTGCATATCGCAGGCTGTTAATGAGTCTTCCTCCAAACTTGATGTCCCGTTCTTCTTCACACAGTCCAGCTTCTCAGATTATTTGCTCAGCATACAGATTGAATAAGTATGGTGAAAGAGACATATATAGATACTTTTATGAATGTTCTCAACTTTATTAGAACTAACTGTGATGCAGAACAGTGCCTACTTTGCTGCAATCAGAGGGAAGGAGGGAACTTTTTCTTTGCTTTATTTCTGAGATTTCTTTCCCTAGCAGTTAGAAGACGCTGCAGTTTCTTCGACAAGATGCTAATACCATCAATTAGTCCTGAGGGAAAAAGGGAAGGTTTGAGGAGCTTAAAACTTAGAAGGTAGAAAAGAAGAGGCTAGTAGAGAATTTTAACAGATGGACTATATGGCATATAATCTTCAGCTATGGCTGTGAAGAAGCTGGCAGGGAGTCAGTTGGTAGGAGGGATAAGGAAGCTGTGTGCTTAAGCACCTCACTTCTAAAGTACTTAAGAGGGGACCAGGCCAAGAGAATCAACACAAGAATAGATGTAATAAAAATGAACACAAGAATAAATGTTTTTTTATAAGAATAGATAAACATCTTTTATACAAGAATAGGAAATGTATATTATAAATATTCTGGAGTATGTATGACTTTAACAAATTAAACTTAATGAGCTCAATCAAACAGATTTCATGTTTGTTAAAATGGAGTTTGTCAAATAAATTACACATTGGGATACTGCCCAAGCTGCTGAAGGTTTAATAGTTGAGTCTTTACACTTTTATTTTCTCCTTCCATCACTGAGCATCCCAAGGTGGGCATGATTGATGATGAAA